ATATGTATTATCTATATAGACATATACATACACATATACAGTTGGAGTCAGTTTTGTAAAGTTGGCAAAGTTAGCTAGTTAGCTAGCAGGAGCATCAGTCAACACCTCCTACTCCATGGGCGCCATCTTGTTCCAACTCCCAGGAGGCCGTAGCGACGAGTCAACAGGCCCCACCGGCAACCTGCCCCTCCAGAGTGGATCCGGCCATGGACACCAAGCCCCGAGTCCCGAGGTCATACCACCCCCCAACAGAGGCCCGACAGAGCCAGGGCACCCAGGCCCACGCAGGCAGCCACCAGGGCGGGCCTGCACACACCCCACCACCCAGCCCCAGCTGCTGAGAGCCGCCAATGCACCGGCGGCAGGGGGGCCCACCGAGTTGATGTGGATAAATACATCAAGTTCACACGAGAAGATGTAAAAAATGGCAGGTTGGCTTTCTTGGACTGTGAGGTCTCAGTCTCTGATAGAGGACATTTGCAAACTGAGGTGTACCGCAAACCCACCCACACAGACCAGTATTTGCAGTTTGACTCCCATCACCCTTTGGAGCACAAGTTAAGAGTCATCAGGACTCTGTATCACAGAGCAGACAGCGTCCCCACTAGCTCAGGAGCCAGGCAGAAGGAGAAATCCCACACAAGACAGGCTCTAGAGCAATGTGGATATCCTAACTGGGCCTTCCTGAAAGCAGAGAAGAAACCAAAACAGGACTCCAGTCAGCCAACAGGTGAAAAGGAGGAACCCAGACCCAGACCAGTGGTCATTCCATATGTTGAGGGAGTATCAGAGAAACTGAGACGTTTATTTTCTAAACATAACGTCCCAGTGGCTTTTAAACCCCAAAATACATTATGGCAAAGACTGGTTCATCCCAAAGATCCAGTCCCCCGGCACAAACAGAGCAATGTTGTGTATGCTGTTCAGTGTCAGGAGGGCTGTGATCAGTCTTACATCGGGGAAACAAAACAGCCACTGGCCAAAAGGATGGCCCAGCACAGAAGATCAACATCATCAGGCCAGGACTCTGCGGTCTACACTCATCTCCTGGCCAGTGGTCACTCTTTCAGGGATGAAGATGTTCACATCCTGGACAGAGAGGAACGATGGTTTGAGAGAGGAGTAAAGGAGGCCATCTTTGTGAAAAGAAATCGTCCATCATTAAACAGGGGTGGAGGCCTCCGGGTTCAACTGTCCCCCTCTTACAATGCTGTGATTGCTAGTATCACTCAGCCCTCTGTGAATAGTAAACAGTCATCAGTGTGCTAATGATCCATTGTTAGGCTGATGGTCCTTCTTGAGCATGTGATCAGCTGGTTTTGGTTGTCAGCAGCAAAACTGGTTGATCCACTCTGAGACGGTGCTATTTAAGAGACTGAGCTGAATACAGCTCCTCAGACTGAGGAAGTCTCTCGGATGAGAGACGAAACGTTTCTACATTTTTTTGTTGATTTGCTTTGTTTTGTTTTTTTGAATGTCCAGAGGACCAGATTTAACTTTTTTAGAGCTAGTAGATGTAGCTAAAATGCTAGTAGATGTAGCTAAATATGCTAGTAGATGTAGCAAAATATGCTAGTAGATGTAGCTAAATAAGAAATGTAGATTTAGCTAAAAATGCTAGTAGATGAAGCTAAATAAGAAATGTAGATGTA